TAATAACTTGCTACTAGACCATATATGTCAGTCTATGGGTTGATCAATGCACTCCCACACAGGAAGAAGGGATACTCTGTTCTAAGGTACTTATTTATTAACCCCTTAACAGCCCCCCATATACATTCACACCAATAACAATAATAATAATAACTTTACCACACTACCTTACGTTAAAAGCCTTGGTCTACATAAACAGGATACAAGGTTTTACACTGAGCACTAGCTAGGGTAAAGCTCTACTATTGAACAACTTGAAGTTAGAGTCAGCTTAGGGTAGGGGACCACGTGGTTCCAATGGGACCCCCTTTAGAATAACTAGTAATATAAACTCTACAAACACCTACTACACACAAAAATATCCTACTCTACACATAGAACATGAGTATGCCAGACATGCATAATAATGTGCTCAATATACTTATCTTGAACAAGACACAGAAATAAGGAAACGAAGAGGAAGGGTAGGAGGTTCCTGTCCACACCACGCCAGCTCAGAAAAAGATGGAGTCTCTCTCTCCATCCCCCCAGCTGGCTGCTGCCGGCAGACTGCTCAACTAATCGTACCGCAGCCCTATACCAAGTTTACTCAGGTTTACTTTACAAATGATTAGAAAGTATTAGTAAGCATAGTTGGTGCCTATGTTATTATTTAATAATCAACCCCCAGCTCAGTCTTTAAATGCTCTTTGAGAAACAAGAATAGTCTTACGTCTGGCAGGGAAGATACAAACAATTGCCACTCGTGATGCACTCAACTGTACTATAAGAAAGTTTAATAACTCAATTTTGACCTCTGGTTTCCACTGAAGAACCCAGGGTCGTAACAGACAGCTTGAATGGTAGTTTAACAAAACTTAGCAGGCACAATACAGCATATGGCTAGTACATAAAAGAAAACAGCAATGAACACAATGATAAAGTTGTTTGGATTAAGTACATAAAGATTGGGAGATTGGGTAACACTAGATACAGAGCAAATTTAAAGCTCAGTGTAGGAAACTACGAAGATGAAAATAGGTACTTTTTGTTTTTGTTTTTAAATGAGGCAGAAATTTGACAGCTTTTCAATTCACTAGGGAGTGAGTTCCATAGACTAGGTCCTTTAATTTGCATAGAGTGCTTACACAGATTAAGTTTGACCCTGGGGATATCAACGAGATATTTATTTCTGGTGTGGTGATAATGGGTCCTATTACATCTATCCAGGGAGAGTTTCAGAGCATGGTTTGCATTTAAGAACAGGGTTTTGTAAATGTAGTTGACACAAGAGAATGTGTGGAGGGAGTTAATATTTAGCAAGTTAAGGGATTTAAACAAAGGAGCTGAGTGTTGTCTGAAAGCAGAGTTAGTTATTATTCTGATAGCAGATTTTTGCTGGGTGATGATGGACTTAAGGTGGTTTGCAGTGGTAGACACCATGCACAAATACCATAATGAAGACAGGGATAGATTAGTGCATAATACAGTGAGAGGAGAGCAGAGTTAGGAACATAATATCTTATTTTGGAGAGTATACCAACTGTTTTAGAGACTTTCTTAGTTATGTGTTGAATGTGGGTGCTGAAGATGAGTCTCTTGTCTAGGAATAGGCCTAGAAACTTGCAATCATTTTTATTACTGATGTTAATGTTGTCTATCTGTAGCTCAATTGCATTCGATGACTTGCTTCCAAATAAGATATAGTAGGTCTTTTCTATGTTTAGTGTTAGTTTGTTAGTTGACATCCATAGGTGGACTTTTTAATTCATTACTCACAACATTCTTACATTATTTTAGTGTATGTGGGTTGGGGTCTGAATAGATGAGGGTAGTATCATCAGCAAACAATATAGGTTTAAGAATATTAGAGACATTAGGCAGATCATTGATATATATAAGAAATAGAAGAGGTCCTAAGATGCTGCCCTGTGGCACTTCAACGGTTATTGGTAGAGTGGAAGAGGTTGTATCATTGATGGTTACACGTTGGTGTCTGTCACTAAGATAGGATCAACTATAGTCCAGGGCAAGGCCTCGGATTCCATAATGCTGGAGTTTAAGTAAAAGGTAGTTGTGATTAACAGTATCAAAGGCTTTTCTTAGGTCAATGAAGAGTCCAATAGGAAACTCATTTTTGTCAAGGGCTGAGTAGATTTTTTTTTTTTTGAGATATATACAAGAGTTGTTACATTCTTGTACAGCCACTAGTACGCGTAGCGTTTCGGGCAGGTCCCTGGAATACGATCCCATGCCGCAAAGAATCGTTTTTTTCATCCAAGTACACATTTTACTGTTGCGTTAAACAGAGGCTACAGTTAAGGAATTGTGCCCAGTAAATCCTCCCCGGCCAGGATACGAACCCATGACATAGCGCTCGCGGAACGCCAGGCGAGTGTCTTACCACTACACCGAGGAGACTGTAAAGATTACGTCAAGGAGACTAATGATTGCATCATTGGTGCTCTTTTGGGACCGGAAGCCAAACTGGTAGGGGCCGAGTATGTCGAATTTTACGAGGTAGGAATAGAGCTGTTTGTAGATAATTTTTTCAAATATTTTTGATAGAATGGGTAGATTTGATATGGGTCTATAATTGTTTATGTCCGCCGGATTGCCTCCTTTATGGACTGGCGTAACTCTTGCTTTTTTAAGGATATCAGGGAAGGTGTGACACTATAGATTTGTTGAACAGTAGAGCTATGGGTGGTGCAAGGGCATGGGAGGCGCTCTTGTATACAATGGACGGAATTTCACTGGTGTTCCCTGGCTTGGTTTTTATAGAGTGTATGATGGACACAACATCTGCCATAGACAACACAACTCAGGTTGTCATGAATACTGCATAAAAATATGTGCTTGCTAGGTTGTTATATATGTTCAACTCTAGATAAGTGTAAAATTCTTACCCTTACACCAGGTTAGCACAATAAATTAAACTAGGTTACTGTACAACACCAGCCTAAAATATCCTACACTTGTCCAAAAATTAGTCGTAAATAATGTGGCATGCAGTAATTGTTACAGTAATGGTGCAATATTAAAAAATAATGTTTATATAAACACTTAAAATTATCAAAGGCATATACATTTATGAGTAAATTAGCCTCTTATCAACCTCTTGTAATGAAAAAGCATAATTGTTGTTATGGTACAGGCCTCGGAACAATAATAGTGCTTGTTATAAGTGCTGTTTGCTATTTGGCGAGATTGAAAAAATTAGGCTAGAAAAATGTAAAATGTATAGCAGTGTCTTCCTGCTATAATGAATGTATATGTAAATATTGCACTAATATTATATATGTAGATCCTAATCAGGATCATGAATCCGGTTCGTTGAGGACCATAAATATGTGGAAAAATCCTAGCACCTTTAATTCTTTTTAAATTCTGTAAATACTAAATATTTCTTAATTGACTTTAATATGATAATTTTTTATCCGATTTATTTTCTTAGTTAGTTCTTAGTAATAAGTTAGTTAATTATGCAAGTAAGTAATTAAGTAAGTCAGTGGAATGTATGTACTGATTCAGCTGCCTGAATTTATCTCACATAATTGGGGGGACAATTTGCAGCTTAAACCACTTTGAGATGGCTCCTTCATAAACCACAAATTGTTTACCTGATAAATATAAATTATAAATCATACCACATATGGTGGTCTAATCTATTATTATAGCAATAATTAATTATAATTTCTAATACTATGTCTATAGTATTGTACAAAAAGAAGGCTTAGCTGTTCCTGTTGATGGGGCCTGCTAAGGCTGTGTAATTGTAGCATCAAAGTTGGGTGTGGCCCTGTGCCTCTGAGTGCCACGTAATGGCGGCTGTCTGGAGGCCTACAAAGTTTGGTGTACAGCTAGGTAATAATTTATATGGAGGGCCAACTGTCTGCTCTACTTCTTGTAACTCCAAATCACAATTACCTGCCGAGTTTAAAGAATTAATAATGTTTCCCTAAGTACCTGTACTGTATAAGTACAGGTATGAAATGGAATATGAGTGTGTTGAGCTGAGTAAACGTACTTAGTTATTGGGGGTTTTCATGCATTATAACCGCCTACCTATTTATGAATAACTATGGCCAAAAATTAAAAAAATACTTGGTAAGACAGATAGTGGTGTTGCTGTGGCTGTTGAGAGGCTGTTTTGCTGGTTGCTCGATTGTTGACACGTAGTCTGGGTGTCTAACGAGTTAAAATCACCTCATATGGAGAGCCACTCTACAGCGTGTCCTTTGTTGATGTCTCTGTGTGTGATGACGCTCCCGGGGAGACGAACTCAAATGTTTGATGGTTCTATTTATGTTTAAGGAATAGTGTATTAAGCTATATTCCCAGTGTTGAAAATTATATTCAGTCTTAGTGAACATTTTTATTAAATTTAAACACTAGACTGTCTTATAAAAAGATTATGAGTAATGGAAATACGTGACGTCGATGACGTCACGGAATCACCCACTCTCTTTTCTTTAATACTCATGTTATTATGTGTGTCGGATTTCCGACAGATGTAACCCAGTGCTGACCCAACTACACATCAGATAATGTAGAAATGACAACGTTCTGGTCTGTCTTGAGCCATTATCAAATCGTGTCTTGATAATGGTCCAGGACAGACTGAAAGGTCATTGTTTCTTCATTTTATTTATTGGTTGTGAGGGTATATATTTCTTCAATGATTGCAACTGCATGCAACAGCCCCAATCACAATGGTGGTCACTTTGGAAGCTATCAATTGACAGAAAATGTGTGCGAGAGCAGCCACAGAGATTCGCTGTATCTCAAATAGAGAAGAGGTGCACACCACACTGTCTCCAGTCGAGTATGAGGAATCACCCGTCACTGGGTCGTCAGCCTCACTCCAATGCATAAATGCTATTCCAGAGAAATGACTTGGGGTCTCTATACCCAGAACCGGTACCCAATAATTAAGTGGAATAAGTGTATGAGGCAGTACGTAGGGAAATGCTGACAAAAAGACAAAAACTAATAATAATGTTTATTCAGCAAATTTATTAATACATTGGGAGCTTTACATTACTTTAATCAAGAGTGGCTCAACAAAACCATACAAATCACACACAGCAGGAATCGTTCCCACGGTGTTGATATGAGAAGACACACGGTCTCTACTCACTTGCACGGAACAATAGTAAAGTAACTGAATAATAGTGAACACCCCGACAGTTACTGCCTAACGACATCTGATTGGAGTTCCAACAGAACACTCGGGCAATACACAACAATATCAAGAAATTCACAGTAACACCATCAATGACACCAATAATGCACACAATATCACTGTATCACTGAAATCAATTTCACAATGATCTATTAATCATTGAAATAAACATACATCACTGAGAGACTATATGTGGTGTATGTTAATTCACTTATACAAAGAACAAGTACCCAGAGCACTTCCCACTCAGGTAAACATCTTGACATTTGTGGGTCACCTCAGTTGTTCTACCACTCAACTGAAGTGGTTGGAAAGGAGGTATACTTAATCGGTCGGTTAATTACCAAGATCTACACGGGGCAACCCTGGGAAAAGCAGTAGAGATTTGTACTTACTGTGGGCCGGCCTTGACACATTCCCTCCCAATACAAACACACATCCATAATAGCTGGATGATGATGTGTTGGCTGCACTGACACTGGCTTGACTCATGGATTGCATAGATGGCGGTCTCTTCTTCTCATTAACCTCATTCACTACCACACGTGGTTGAACATGCGAGGTTACTCGGTCAACGTAATGGATGGCAACTCCAAAGAACATGCATGACGTACGTGAGACATGGGGCAGGGCATCACGGAACAATGAACGTGTTGGCTCCGTGTGCGAAGCTGGACTTTCACACTGCAACGTGTATGGTACACACACTTGTGGACCCTGGGTCGGCACTTTAGGGTGGGTTTTATTCACAAAACAAAAGAATCGGGTAGCAAGTTTAGAATTATTTCAAATCTTTCAGTAATCAAGCGGTGATAATCTGTAGATCACACACATAACTCTGATAACCTCAATCCTTCACTATGAACATGGATTGAACAGATAATATCTAATAGCACTTGACTTCAGTCTGTTAATCCTGTAACAGTCACCGGGTTATATGCAGACGATGAGTCACAATAACATGGCTGAAGATATGACGACAATAGTGCCAGTTCCATAATGATATATGACTGCATAATATGGTTTATTGATACATCACAGATCAAGTAAATGTAATAGCTCAAAAAATTATAAAGTTCTTGGTGATGATGGCTAACAACAAGTGTAAAATTAGAAAATAAACAGTAATATTGGTGTAACTGTTTACACTACATTCAAGTGGAGGTCGCTAAATTATAGTGTGTAGAAGTGGGAGTGAACTGTACATCACTGGTGATTGTGCAAAAGTACTTTCTACAAAACTACACTAAATACTGTATGTGGCTGGATAGTAGCAGGATTACTTAATAACAACCTTTAGATAAGGTGTAATAACAACAATATTTAGATAAAATATATAGCAGCAGCAAAAAGTAAATTTTGCATTGTCACTAGAATGCATTCCCTATTTGCCCTCATTCAATGTTCACAAATGTACCATTTATGTCAATATTCACAAATTCAATGTGCTGAAGTTTTACTGGAATGCATCCCTTAAAGGGCTCACTGTACCTTGTGACTAGCACATCGATCCACTGTGACAGCTGTGGACCATATAAAGTTGAGTGAGAGGCAAAGACTTCCTGTGCTGAGGAGTTGCCATGATGTCCCAAACTACGCAGGAGGCCAATATTACTGAGATCTGGATCAGTGTAGGATCCCGATGGCTCTTTGTGTAGTGTCCTGAAAATTGCAAACAATTTCATCATAAAATAAAATTATAAATGAATTTCATGAAGAAAATATCATGTTTGGACAATATTTGGAGATGGAAGTGGCACAACAGCACAAAAAGCTGAACATGTAAAGAACAGAGTGCAGCGTGAAATGTAATGCCCCATTCCGAGTGGTCCCTTAGCAGCTTCCTTTAGTTTCTGTTACCAGCACAATAAATATAGGACACTGATTGTCAGATTTCCAGTGACAAGTACATTTCTCCTGGCATAATGCCTCAGAATAATGTTTGGAACATTAAATTGCCAAACAAAACCCTAAAACAAGTTAATCTCCCACTAATTAAACTACCCCCACCACAATCAGGTGGTACAACAGCCACCTGTTGTGGCTGTTGTGGTGGCCCCACCACTTCCAAGTGACCAAGTGGTGGGGCCTGATCTATTCAAGACTCAGGAAATGAGGCCACTTCACATTCTTAACTGGCACAAATGAGACTACACTATAATAGACTAGCAGTACCCGCCACGCGTTGCTGCGGATCATTCTGGGTAAGTGGGAAAGAAAGAAAAGAGAAAGTGCACGTTTCTAATATGTTTAATTTTACAATGCTTGTGGGTATATAATATTTTTTGTTGTTCCATTGTCTGTGGAGATATAGAGACTGTCTGGTTTGCCGATTCTAGAACACGTAAAATATAATTTTCCATGTGAGAAACAATCCGTTTCTAGATATAAACTGCACAATTTTAAAGATTGGCCCTGAGCTTTGTTGATGGTGATTGCAAACGCCAATCGAATTGGAAATTACGATATCTTAAATTGAAATGGCATATCCATTGGAATCATAGGAATGCGAGGAATGAGGACATTTTCACATTTGAAAGGTCCTGTCAAGACTGTTGCTTCTACGACGTCGCTGATTAATTTTTTTACTGCAAGCCACGTGGAGTTGCAAAGTTTTGGCTGGTTGATATTTTGCAACATGATAATTGGCACGCCGATTTTCAAGTGCAGTATGTGGGCTGGTATCCCTGGCAGATCGAGTGAATTCAAAAATTCTGTTGGATAATTACCTGCTTCATCTGCTTCCTCAACAGTGTCGACGGACTTGTATGTGACTGCCTCACTTTGAATGCTAGGCTGAATAATATTGTTAAGTTCGTGTGCCGGATGCTTTGGAAATGTTGCACGTGAGAGTTTCAATGAATTGCATGCATGTTCAATGGCAATTTCAAAGCCGAGGTAGCAGTTCTTCCACCTGGTAGCAATGTCGCAGCTATTCCGGACGATGCAAGAGCTAAGGCTATGCTATTTTGGGATCGAAATGCTGCCAGAATCAATCTAATTATTCAGGTTTTACCAGTTCTTCCTGGCGTATCTAAGAAAATTTCTCAAGCCCGTTATTGACAATTTGAATTATTTGATTATAAATGCATTTTTGCTTAAGCGTTAGCTTAGGAATATTTGATTGTACATACAGCAACAGTTCACCCGTGTTGTAACTTTGTTCATGACACAATTTTACATCAAACGAAGCAGCAGCAGATCGATTCGGTGATGGCATTCCCAATTGATTGAGAACTTTGTTCATGATTTCTAAGCACAAATCTTCAATAATTATCAAGGCTTCGTTGTAGATTTCTGCTGTGAAATCCATGTTCATATTTGAATTTTCCTTGCGTATTCGACGGACAATATCTTCAGCCATGTGAAATTTATTTATTTTATTTTATTTATTTATTTTATTTATATATATACAAGAAGGTACATTGGGTTTGAGAGAATACATTGGATAGTACAGTATTTACATTCTTGTAAAGCCACTAGTACGCGCAGCGTTTCGGGCAGGTCCTTAATCTAGCAGATAATTTTAAGTAGGTAATTTCAAACAGAATTGATAAATGAAAGATACATTACAAGAGAAAAATGAGATGAGAGAGATAAGTAAGTATATTAAAGCACATTGTTATATTAAAGCTCTGATTGATTACATTGACAGCTTGATTAATAATTTAAACAATTTAAACAATTATATTTCTCCCCTAACTGTGTCGGAGATGAAAGAGAGCCGGTGGTCAATATGATTGCAAACAATGCACTATTTTGATTTGGATGTGACGTGTTGGACACGTCATTAATGCATACATTAATCCCAGTGTCGGTCGTTCTCTAATTAATTCAGAGGTTGACATGCACTACGGAAAGTGGCATGTGTTACGCCGTTGACAAATCTCAATGGCTGGAAAGAAGTTGGACCAGGCACATTTACCAACAGCATACGAAAAAAGAAGCATTCATCTTGATTGGGATGCACGGTAGATGTCTGCCTATCGTAGTTCATTTGAACATGCCACGTTGTCCATTGTCGGGGTGTCTCCCTCTCTAGCCAGTCACCACCAAGTATTAGTAGTGAAAAGCGTTATTTACTGCAGCCCCACAGGTCTTCCCTCAATCCTCACGGTGCCACTGTTCACCAAGGAGAGTCTCTCAGTCTATCTCCGGCCGGCCTCATAGCCTAAGACGAGTGAGAACACGATCACTTCACTTGATCATGTGCCCGCCCCAACAGAGGGCTCTACCGCTCACTAAAGGTCGCCAACTGGTGTTTCGCGTGTCCAGTAACACCTCAGTGGAAATAGTAATAATGTAGTAGTAGTAGTGGCCCCACAGAACACTAATCAAGTTGGTAGCAGGTAAGTATATGTTTAAATCACTCACTCTCAGTAGCAACAAGGTAATGGAGGGTTGATACAAACACGGCGGTGGTTTTGTAGTTTACTTAAAACATTAAAGAATCACAACTCTGCATCAACAACATGGCAAAGGAATAAATGAGCAGCTTCCTCTCTGCCTCTTCATAATTCTGGAACACTCAGGGAGATGGCAACACTCCTGGCTGTCATGCTTTCCCACGCTCCAAATGCAATATTATCGAACGTTTGGCAACTCGCAAGATGCCACGCCCACTCACTCTCCTCGCTGAGCTCACTATCTCACTATATTATAATATAAATGACACTCCAGGCACACAGCCTTATACTATTAAATTGTACATTTATTTATATATATCCTCTGGCACAACCCTATAATATAAATGACACTCCAGGCACACAGTAATCTCTTCATCAAACCGCAGGTGCATTCACACACCATATAAATATCTCGTGAGAGCTCTATAGCATCTCCCTTCACAACTGTCTTACTAGAAACATAGACATTGCTGAGCCCTGCTCATGATATAGAAGATGCTCTGGCTAATAGCTAACTAAAGGGGAATGGGGGGGGAAAACTGAATTACCTACTTCCACCATCAAGGATGTGGACTCGTCCTCTGTTGAGGGTTGAATTGAAGCTCCTGGTCCCGGCTCACAACTTGCTGTAAGGAACACCCCCACACACTCTTATGCTCTTCCCAGGACTTCAACCAACGCCCAAAAACGCGTCTTCTCCGTGCTCTTCCCTCTGCAGGTTCTGTGCTTCTCCACAACCTCTTGAAGGGTTGGAGTCGGTCTTCTGGCCATCGCCTCCTCCTCACAACTACGTCTGCAGTCCTTACTCACGGCTGCAGTCGTTCGTATTCCCAGCTAGTTCGTTCTTCTCCTTCCTCACGGTGAACTGGCCCAGCCACTACGTCATCATCCAACTGGGGAAACTGTACTGTCGTCCCTGACGTCACTGTCCAGGCTTCACTTCTGCTAAGCGCCTGTCACTGGAGCACTTGTTGCTCGTTTCCCGTCAATTCCTTCTTCTGTCCGCTCCACGGAGTTCAGGAAGACCTCACAGGATGCTTACAGACCACTGGTGATGCGTATGTCCACCAGAGAGGGGCGAAAACTGTCAGACTGACAGGACCCCTTATCGCACGTCCGCCCTTAACAACGTGTCGTATCTAACTCCTTGGCGCCACGGGGCGCGCCGCCTGGACCCCCTTTCACTCGTGACGTCATACTTGCCAGGGGCGTTTCTCATTGGCTCCCTGTACTACATCACCGTTCTTGGCCAATCTGGTGCCCCCTGATGTCATAACGTCTTGGCAGGAAAACGTAGGGGCCGGCGCCATCTTGGATTCGCTCACTGGCCGCCAGAGGGCCAGGACGTGCTCGTTTGACCTGCCAGTTCTCGCCTGGTGCTGAGTGGGGGCGGGTGTGGACTGTGGTGTGGTGCGCCCGCTGGCCGGAGGGCCCGGCTGGTGGTATGGTGGTTGGTGTTGTGTCCCGCGTACGGCGGGTGGACACGGCGTGCCTTGACTTCTCAGGGGATGTGGACTGGGCGATTGTAGAAGTTGCTGTCGTCGATGTGCTTCAAGCGGATGTCCAGGATTTGATAGGGCTGGAAAAGCTTTCCCCTACGCGAGTGGCGATGACCTTCTGCAGGAGCTCGCTGTACAAGGAGTTTGTGGCGCGTTGGGCCGGCCACTCTGTTCCAGTCACCGACGCGGCTGTGTCTGTGGCCGTTTCGGATCCCTGGGGGGCCGTGCAGTACGTGAGTGTGCATGGTGTACCGGTGACGTTCTCTGAGGATGAGCTGCGGGTTGTGTTTGGAAAATATGGAGAGGTGCAGTTTCATCGTTTCAACCATCTGCGTACAGGTCGGCTGAGCGGGCTGCGTACGGGCATTCGTACGCTAGGTATGAAGATTACGTCACCGGTACCATCTCGTCTTCTGTATCGTGGGCTCTCGCTCAGAGTATTCTATCAGGGACAGACTCGTACTTGTTTCCGGTGTGGTGCTGAGGGCCATGTGGCAGCGAGCTGTGATGCTCCTCGGGCTGAGGCTCCCTCCGTTTTCTTGGAGGGTGACTTCCCCCCTTTGGAGACGCGGGGGGCTTCCTCATCGCTTTCTCGCCCTGGCGAGGTGCCTGGGGTGGTTCCTGCGGCGGGTTCAGCGAGTGCTCCCTCGGTCCCTGTTTGGTCGGGACATAGTACGTCTGCTTCCCCAGTGTGCTCTGTGGGAACGGGAGCTCCTACCTCGGGGGTTCCTCGTTCGGTGGTGGCGGAGGTGCATCC